TAAGAGACAGCTGTTCCCCGCAGTGGCCCAGCGCGTCCTGAGGGCCGGGAGCCACGTGCTGTCCGTCGGGGGGAAGGAATACCCGCTGGAGGTGACGGCACACGCCGCGGAGCTCAGCCCCGATGAGGTAGCGAGGAGCGGGAGCCCCGGCCCGGGCCCGGCAGACGCGCTGGGGAAGGGAGACCTCGCTCTCGCCGTTAATCTTCGTTACACTTCGAGCAAATCTGGGTTGATTCAAATCAGGATTTTTTTTTTTCCTGTGCTAATAACACAGGGACAGCCAGGCCGGCCGTGCGCTCAGCTCTCTGGTATTTGTGCCAGTCAAAGCAAGGAGAAATAGTCAGACTGGAGGGAAGGGGCGCTTTTCCCCAGCCCAGCTGGTGACACAGGGGGGATCCTGTTAATGCCTCTGCCCTGTCATCAGCTGGACACCGTGCCATCAGCTGGACACTGTGCCATCAGCTGGACACCGTGCCATCAGCTGGACACTGTGCCATCAGCTGGACACGCTCCTGCTCAGCAGAGCTTAGGAGACAGACATGCTGGTGTCCAGGAGGCACTGGAGGGTTCCTGCCTCTTCTTGCAGTTTCAGGAGAGTACGGCAGCAGACACATCTCATGTTTTCATGTCTGAGCACTGAAAACAAGGGCACGGGAGCCAGCCTGGCGTTGCAGACCTTTCTGCAAGCCCGTGGTGCTGCCGCTGGAAGGGCTGCGGCCAAAGCTCTGGGAGAGCAAGAGGGCAACTGGGAGTGGATTTCTTGGGCTGTTTGCAGAGCCCCCAGCATGTAGAAGTGGGGCTGCATCTCTGTGATTTTCCCTTTGCATTTCTTGTTTGCAGAAAGCTTTTGGGTATGTGTACCAGGTCTGAGAGTTGCTCGGGCTGGCTGGGTCTCTCAGCCCTGCCCGTGCTACACTGCCATCTCGTTTGACAGCGGGATGCTGAGAGGGAGGCGGTGGGTCTGGTGGTCTCTTCTGCCGTAATGACGCAGGGGCTGTGGCCAATGTCAGGTGCATTTGCCTCCCCCCTGTGCTTGGAGGAGGGTTATTTTTGGTCCTTGTTCTCTCACTCCCTTGCTGTCTACTTGCAGATATTCATACGCACTTGCATGATAGTTGACTATAGCAAACTTCCTGCTGGCAAAACCCTCCTGAGGAACTTGCATAAAGGCTACAGCAACGTGCAGTTCAACTTCGACTCCAAGAGCACACACTGCATAGTCAAGGGGCCGTTCACTGAGCTGCAGGCCTTCAGCAGAGACCTGCTGGGCAGCCTGAACCTCAAGAGCCAAGGCGCTGGCGAGATCCTGCTGCCAGGAGCCAGCCACGTGGCCGAAGAGACCAGAACACAGAGTCACCCGCGAGCGCCTGACCCTGCTGCGTCAGCGCGAGAGGCAGCAAAGCTGCAGGACTGCGACCGGGTGTGTGAAACGGCACCTAAAGCCCCTTCACCTCGGGGCCCGGTGGATGGGGAAGCTGTGGAAGTCCTGGAGGACTTTTCCCTAGTGGTGGACTCGGACATTTACTTGTACATGCAAAGGTTCTGTGCCGCTGAGTACCAAGGTGTGCTACGCCAGCATCGTGTGGACGTGGTGGATGTTAGCAGCGATGGCATCGCCATACTGTACCTGCAGCCACCTGCAGGTGTGTCTGGGGCCATGGATGCCCTGCCACAGGCCCGTCTGGCCCTGCAGCAGCTCTACCAGCAGCTGGAGGTGAGCTTGCGCAAGGAGAAGATCACCAAGGAAGGACTGCATGTGGACAGCCAGGCACTCAGGGCTCTGACATGTGAACTGCAGAAACTGTATCCCCAGTTGCTCTGCCATGAGGATGAGAAGCAGCTTTATCTCATTGGAAACCTCGTTGACGTGTCCCAGGCCAAGCAGTACCTCCAGGATTTCGGCACCAGAACAGGTGCCGCGCTCAGCAGCGACCTGCCCTCGCGCCCAGCGACCTCCCGCGCCCCAGAGGCTGCGCTGCACGAGCCCAGAGCGCTCCTGGACGCTTCAACCTCAAAGCTCAGCCCAGGCAAGCGGGAGCTGAAAGGTGAGCTCAAGCTGGCTGCCAGCTTCAGCGCCCTGAGGGCTGACAAGTCTCAGGCCAGCCGAGGCCTCTCGCAGAATCGGGACTCCCCACCGGCGGGACAGGCGCAGCTCTCTGCAGAACTCGAACTGAAGAGAGATGCTCTGGGTCCAAGTGACCCAGCAGCGCAGAGCCAGCAGTTCCAGCCTCATGTCTCTACAGGAGAGGTGGTTTTGGGGCCAGCAGTGGAGTCTCAGCAGAAGGACTCCAAAGAATGGGACCACCTGAAAGGAGGTGCCAGGCTGACACGACACAGGGCGCCGTCTCCTGCTGCGGGCAAAGGGAGCGGCACCTCGCAGCATCCTGGGGACTCTCAAGGCTCAGGTGCCATCAAGCACCACCCCCTCGCCAGCACATCTAGTGCCTTTGAAGTGACAGGGACCTCCTCTGCTTTGGACGCTAAACCCTCTGGGCCCAGGCCCCTGCTGCGACGCTCCAACAGCTTCTCGCTGCCGAGGCCGACGGGAAGGGCCCAGCCCCAGGAGCCCGCCTGGGCCGGCGGCCGGGCGAGCGAAGCGATGAGCCTGGACTCCCTGCAGTGGTCTTACCTGAAGGACGTTTGCCGCGCTGCCATCGATGAACTGTGCAGGGATGGAGCTGTGCAGATCTCGGAGCATCGTAGCAGGGACTGCACGGTGCTGACGCTACGGGCCGCGGACAGGAGCGAGCTTCTCCAGGCTAAGTGGAAGGTGGAAGCTCTTGTGCAGAAGTGTCCTGACCTCGTGTGTCAGAGTATGAGCTACTCGGAGCTCGCTGTCGATGGTCCCGATGACAGTGCCCTGAGCGAACTGTGTGGCCTCTTGCGAGGAAACTCCCCCCAGGTCGGACTCAGCAAAGACAAGTACAACCTGTATCTTGCCTGCCCCAAGGAGATGCTGCCAGGAGTGACCGAGGCCTTCCGCATCTTTTCTTCCATGAGGCTCCATGCCCTGAAGTCTTCATCCTTGTCTCCAGGGCAGGAGAGCATGGGGCACTCGAGTGTCATCCAGCCAAGCAGGAGCCAGGACGCGGTTCTGGGTGCAGCCCTTCCCGGCAGCCTGGAGCCCCTGCAGATGGGCCTGCAGCACCTCAGCGTTTCCGATGAAGCAGAGCACGCAGATGTGCTCAGGGCCTTCCAGCTGCCAGCGGCTGAGGAAGAGAGGCCCCCCAGTCCGTGGGGGTTCCAGCAGGCACCGGGGCAGCAGGAGGGCAATGGCCGAGTTGCTTCTGGGGCTGTGCAAGGAGGAAGCAGCCTTCTGAGCCCTGGTGTAGTGGACAAGCCAAGTCCTGCTGGCCTGAGGGAGTCCCCAGAACAGGCGAAGACAAAACTGTCTGCAGGAGAGCTTGACATCGCACGGCTAAAGCAGGTTTTGCCAGACAAATTCCAGTTTGCGAGAGACAGGAGCAGAGGAGGGCACAACGAAGCGATGGGACAGCCGCGCTCGCCGGCGCCTGCCGCGGACGCTGCCCCTCTCTCCCTGCCCGCCTGGCTGTACCGGCCCGCGCCCCCCCGGGCACCTGCAGCGGAGCCCCACGGCCCGG